CACACACACACACACACACACACAGCAGCAGCAGCAGCAGCAGCAGCAGCAGCAGCAGCAGCAGCAGCAAAAGCAGCAGCAAAAGCAGCAAAAGCAGCAAAAGCAGCAGCAGCAAAAGCAGCACCAGCAGCACCAGCAGCAGCAGCCGCAGGCGCCCGAGACTGCAGCACTGCGCATGCGCCAGCAGAAACCACCACGAAACACAAGGGGTATCCGCCCAGGCAGGCAGCGCCGAAACAACGCGGGCCGATTCTGAAGCCGACCCCCAAAGGCGCGCAAGCCCCGACGACGCCAGGGAAAAAGGGGACCCACGGTGCAGCAGCAGCAGCTGCAGGGGCAAAACAGCCAGCGCACGAGGCAGCAACCCCAGCATCGGAGCAGAAAAACAAGGACAAGGCTGCTGCAGGAGCAGAGCAGGAGGACAAGAACGAGGGCAAGAAACGCCAGCCCAGCCCGACGGAGAGGGCGCCCACGAGCCCAACAACAAGAAGGCGAAGCCCGACGGCGACGGCAACGGCGGCATTACGGCCTAGGCAACCACGCGCCGATGGGGATGGCCGCGAGCCATACGAGCAGCTTTGCAACGCGTCCTGCAGAACCGAGCGCACCTCAAAGCAAGGTGGCCGCGCGCCGCAGAAAGCGTCGCCATCCGTCGCATCTGCCTCGCGGGGGACGGGGGGAGGGGATGCGACAGGGGCTGTGAGCAGGAGGTAGCAGCAGATGAAAGGGCGCACGCAGGCGTCAACACCTTGCGCGGCCACGCGCAGGCAGCAGGGAAAGGCAAACTTCACTGGCAGTGGAGACGAGCGCCTATGTCGTGATATGTGGCATGCCAAAATGGGGGCCACACTGGTCGCGCGCGCCGCAGCTGAACCGCGCGAAAACGACACGCAGAGTTGGTTTGAGTTCTTTCCGACAAGAAAACTCGTACGCTTCTTCTTGTTGTTAAGAACAAAACTGATTATGCTATAACTTGTTCCGGCAAAAATTGCGAGCGCGAGTTGTGCGCGATGAAATGTCCTGTGTACTCCACCCTAAACGGCCACGCCGGTTCAGGTATGACTCCCGGTTGGCAGGCCATTGCAACGTTCCCTCGATCTGGGGCCATGTTATCTAGTATTTGGAATGTGCTTATGTTGTTTAGATCCTGCATATCATAAGTTGACGGATGTGATTCATGCACGGATACGGGACGATTCGAATCTCATTTGCACACGCGCAGAACGTGCATGCTCTAGTGCGCCACGCGCAACGCGCGCGCGCAGCGCACGTCGGCGGCGGCGCTGGCAGTGGCGGATGCTTGAAATGCATCGCAATAGAGCGCGCGCGTACTACGCGCAGAAATGTCTCCCCAAGTCAATGCCCTAAGCAATTGCAGTCGGCGCGCCGCCCAACCGCCGAGCAGGCGGTGCTGGCGCTGCTCCAGAAGTAGCCCGATCAGCATTATCATCGCGCGCTGTGCGAGACAAGCTTTCTACAATATTATTGCATTCCTGATGATATGCCAAGATGAACCATATGATTCTTGCAGCTCGTAGAATATCCGCGGCAATCGCTGTCGCATATCGAACAACCGCATGCCCGCAGGCCGGAATCGGCGCACGCATTCCGTTTGACGCAGAAACGGAATCGAATCATCTTCTGCCCCCCTGCACAGGAGGGCGCCCCAGAAGGGGGATGCAAGGGGGGGGGGATGAGGTGAGGGAGACGACGGAGAAGGATTCTCACATTGCCAGTTTGGCACTGTTTTGCCATTTGGTCGGGGATCGACGACCCGAATCGCCGCGGCCCTGCACCCGGCTCTTCTGCTGCCTTCCGGCCCCAGCACTCCAGGTTGCCTAGCGTTCCTGATCGCGCGCCCTCCGCGCTGAGCTTGCGAGCGGCGATGCATTCGCAAGTCCTTCGCGCTGCTTGCCAGCGGCTGCCGTCGGCGCCGCCATGACCGTTTGCGCCCCTAAGAAGAAGGCGATGGCCCAGTCCAGGCGCGCCGCCCTCGACCACGACGGGGGGCTGAATCGGATGCCCACTCCCTCGCAGCACCAGAGAAGCGGCACATGTAGCGACGACGACGACAATGGGAAAGCTGCCTGGCGCAGAGGAACAAGCTCGCGAACCAAGAAGATAAGAAACGCTGCTTGGCAATGCGGGAGGAAAACCGGAGCGGCACGGCTGCCGATAACACGAGGCTCGCCGCGCACTTCGAGCAATCCTGCGAGCGCGCTCAAGAGGATGAGTTTTCGAGCAAGGACAAGTACCCTACCCCAGCGCAGACTCTCAAACTGAAAGGCTACGCTATCTCTGATTTCGACGCGCGCTAGGAAGCGAACAGATTCGCCGTCGGCTTGCACGAGGAGAACGCGGCACGGTTCGACGCCGAAGAGACGCATCCACCCGCGACCCACGACGCGAATGAGGATTTAACCAAATATTTCTGCGTCGAGAACAAAGGGCGCACAAGGGCCTGGACGCAGAAGCAATCCGAGAAGATCTCCGGCGGCGCAGATGCGCAGAGCAGCTCGCACCTCGCGAGCGCACGCGACGCAATGGGCGCGCCATCCGGACTGCCAGCAGCGCCGTCCGAATCGAATGCGGGGGGCAAGGGCGAGCGCCCGCTGATCCCCGAGGTTCAGGGGGCGGAAAGAAATCTCAAGGCCGAAAGGGGGGGAGACAATCGCCCCCGCCCCCCCGCTCCGCAGCCCCCTGGGCCAGACGCGGCAGCAGGGGGCGGCGGGGGGGGGGGTGGGGGTCGGGTGATTTGTTGTTCCTTCCCAGGTATGGCTTGTCTGGGCTGCATAAGCTCCAGAGGCCACTGCGCGGGCGCAGGAGCCAGCTGACGGCGAAAGGAAAGGCTTCCAAGTAGGGCAACAAGAAGAGGCCGTGGTCGGATTGCTCGCAGGAGAGCGAGGGCAGCATCAGTGGCCTGGGAAACTTCGCGGACGAGTGCTACTGCAATATCGCCATGGCACAGCCGGCGCGCACTGAGAACGCGAAGGAGCTGCCCGCTCTCCAGGGGCAGCTTGCCGACGCGAAGGACATGCTCGCACGCCACTTGACAGGGTCGATTTCTTGCGAGCGCAAGTATTCCGAGCTCCTCGAGCACGCGCGAGGCTCTGGCGCGCGCAGATAGGAAGGGCGAAAAGGGGGAACGGAAAAGAAGGGGGGCGAAGGGGAAGAACAACAGTAGATCAAGGAGGTGTTGTCCATATACGTGTTATTACATTTCATGGTGGCCCTTCGCTGGCTTTTATGGGCGCAGCCGCATGACTGCGCTTTCGCTGCGCTCTTGAAACAATTCAATGGCACTCTCGTTTACCCTCGTGCGCAGGAGGCCACCGACGTCGGCCCGTCGCCAGCGACGCCTCCCGCAGCGGCTCTGCCGCTCGGCCCCCCAGCGGTTCAGAGGGCAGAACTGTTCGGCAAGCGCAAGCGACATTATGAGACTGCGTCACTTCCTCATGACGGGAGGTCGCGGGCAAGCGCGGGCGCGCTGGTGACGACCAATTCGCTCGCCCACTCCCACGCCCAGTCGCTCCTGGACGACGCCCACGCGGGAGGCCACCGAGGAGTGGGCGACTTGACCAGCCACCAAGGAGCGGGCAAGAAAGACGTCAGCGAGTGGGCAAACGCCGGCGGCCACATATCCAAGAGGCTGCGGAGGCGACCTCTTCGAAGCAATTTGTGCCCCAGGACGTACTTCGCAGAAGCCCGCTGGCGAGGCAAGAGGAGAATCTGCGAGCAGGAGGAGTGGGTCGCTTTCGGCTTGCCGCGCGGCTGCTTTGCCCAACTGGCGCAACGCGGCACGTTGGAGAAACGGGGGGGCACCAGCGGCCTGGATAAAGTTGGGGAGAATCACGCGCAACGCTGCCTCTCGACAATTCAAATCGGTTCGGTGACGCCCGCAGGTCCGCGGGCCGACGGCGCCCCGCGCCAGCGGGGCCGCGACCAGTCAGTAGAGACCGCGCGCTTAAATTTGCGAGGGCCGCCCAAAGAGATGGAGGCGCACAAGCTACGCCTGCCCATCGCTGGGCGGGCGAAGGCCTCCATGAGCACGAACGCGCGGCATGACATTCCCGGTGCGATTTCCAAAAGTTGTCTGCTCGCGGCCACGGGTAAATACCCGACAGCCCGCCACAAGGATAGAGCTCGGTTGAAGTCTGACTGTCGCAGGGGCAAGGAGGCAGGTGCTGATCTAGGCTGCAGGTCTACGCTGGCGCAGACGCGCGCAGAGTGGGGACGTCGGAAACAAGTGCCCGGGCCCCCGCGGTTCAACGAGAAGGCGGGGCGCTGCTGGAGGCGCCGCGAGACGCAGCGGCAGGCCCCTTACTCCTCGTCTCTTTCACCCACATCCCCCGCTCTCCTCGCCCGCGCAGGCCCCGCGGCCAGCGCGCGTCGGCAGCGCGGCGCCGCGGCGGAGCAGCGGGCGCGCGACGACGCAGCTGATCCAACGCTGAATGGAACAAGGTGTTACAATATCGCCAATGATGTCAGACCCATGGGTTGACCAGTCGGTCTGGGGAATACGCGCAGTTGGCCCGGGCGCGGCCGCAGATTGGCCGGGGCAGATGTTCTTCAGATTCACCATTGAAGAAGTTTACTGGCCGCGCGCGCGACGAACAATGCAAAGCGCCATGGGGGCGCCTGAGTGTCTGGCGCGAGCGGGCACCAGAAGCGGGGCGAATCCACTCCTTGACAACGAGCACCATCAGACACAACAAAACACTGCGCCCTGCAGGGCAAGCTGCTGTGATCCGACACATGGCGCCCTCTGGGAAAACGCTCTCCGACGAGATGTGCGACCCGAGTGTCACTGGAGAAGCAGCGAGGAGGCATGCTACGCATCACGTGTATCAGCGTTGCCTTTGCTTGCAAAATGGTAGCATGAAAATGGAAATGTTGCATGGCCAATCGATCAAGCTCAGCCTTCGATGCGCAGCCCTGCGCGGCATGCGCCCCAGAGCGCATCACATGAAGCCGAATATGCATCAATTGCTCGAGATGGGCTACTGCAGGAACATTAGCCCTGGACACGCAGGACTTACAAATACGAGGACTTCGGGGGCACGGGCCCTCATTTCGCCAAGCGTCGCGGCAGCGTGCTCGCGCCCCGAGGATTCAGCGCCGCATTGATGTCCAGATTTGTCTCGCGGCCTTTCGCGCGGATCTTGTGATGGGATCGCTTCGGAACAGAGGTCGCCCCCCCTTCTCCCCCCTGCGCAGGAGGGGCACGTCGATCTGCCTCGGGCCCCCCCCCTTGCCGCCAGCGCAAACTGCGAATTAGAGCATGCAGCTCTGTGCGCCTTCATTAACGATGTTAGCTGATCAGAGCAGATTGGGCCCTCGAGGAATTCCGGGCGCGCAGGTGCCAGAGCGGGAGAAGTTCCGCTCTGATTGCGATTCTGGGCACGCGGGCGCCAGCATGCGCGGAAACGCGCTCCGATTGCAACTCTGGGCGCGCAGTCGCCGGGCGCGAGGGCGCGCGCCCCACTTGCAATTCTGGGCGCGCGGGCGCCAGAAAGCGCGAAAACGCGCCCCGTTTCCAATTCTGGGCGCACTGGCGTTGCATGCGCGAAACGCGCTCCGATTGCAACTGCGTGCGCGTAGGCGCCAGAATGGGCGGAAACGCATTCAGATTGCAATTATGAGCGCGCAGGCGCCAGAATGCTCGGAATTGCGGAAGCGCGCTCCGATTGCAAAACTGCCACGCCGGCGCCAGAATAGCAATTCCGGGCGCGCGGGCGCCAGAATGCGCGGGATCCCGCTCGGATTGCGATTCTGGGCGCGCTGGCGCTGGGATGTAAGGATTCTTGCTCCGATTGCAATTCTGGGCGCGCTGGGCGCCAGAATGCGCGGAACTGCGCTCGGATTGCAAAACTGGGCGCGCCGGCGCCAGAATAGTCTCTCTCGGCGCGCAGGCGCCAGAATGCGCGGGATTCCGTTCGCATTACGATGATGGGCGCGCTGGCGCTGGCACGCAAGAAGTAGCGCTCCGATTGGAATTCTGAGCGCGCGGGCGCCCATATGTGCATTGGTTTACTTCCACGGCCCCGCAGACAAGAATCTCCGCCGACTTCGCCAGGAATTGAACGGAAGGGTGGCGAAAGAAGGAAGCTGGGTTGGGAAGGCCTCCTCCTCCTCCTCCTCCTCCGACCCGGCTGGCTGCCGCACGCACTCGTTGCTGTGCGTCCCTTCGAACGCTTCCTGCGCCTCTCTGGGCGCTCGCCTTGCGCCCTCAAGGCGCGTGCAATCCTCAACCAGCCAGGCCTTCGTCGTCAGACTGCTGCCCTCGTCGCTGTCGTCGGCGCGCCCCGCCGCCCCCGACCGCGAGACGCGCGGCGCCGCCCCCCAGGCCTGCGCGCGCAGAGAGGAAGAGAAAGAGATGGGGTGACCGCGAGAGCCTCATTTCCCGAGCGCACAGCCTCCTAAGAAATTACGGTGCAACAGATTCACGGATTGAGGGCGGGCCGTTTCTAAAATGTGGTTCTCGCCTAAGCGCCGCGTACATTCGTCTTAAAGGTTGCAGCATGTTCACATATTTCAGGCGGTTCCGTTTCAAACTGTGGCCCTCGCATTAGCGCCGCGCACAGTCCTCTCAAGAGCGCTCAACGGTTTCAAGGGCTCACATAGCTGCAGTCCGAGGAACGGTGTTCTGGCACGATTAACAAGTGTCAGGACACTGCAGTCACGCTGATTCGGTGGCGTGAAGTTCTGGAGACGGCGTTCAAGCATGATTTAAGACTGTCAAGACGCAACAGTCTCGCCGAATCGCGGCGCTGAAGTCCCAGGAATTGCGTTTTGGCGCAAGTGGAAAGTCTCAAACGGTTGTGTTCAAATTGAACACCTCCTGTGAAGGAGGGAACTTGCGTCGAGGGTTTACGCTGGACCTCTTCTTCCTCCTCCTCCTCCTCCTCCTCCTCCTCCGCCTCCTCCTCCTTCTCTCTCTCTCTCTCTCTCCCTCTCTTTCTCTCTCTCTCTCTCTCTCTCTCTCTCTCCCCCTCCTGGCAGGAGGTCGGCATGCTGGGTCGCCCCCCCTCCTTTGAGCATCGGGCAGCCGATCCCCATACCACCAGCCTTCTCGTAAAAGAACACGGAGGAGAGGCAAAAGCCGAGGCGAGCAAGCACAAGCAAGCACAGGCAGTCGAGCCAGGGCCTGCAAGAACAGCGAAACCAGAGGCCAGCACGGGCAGGCAACTGACGCGCGTGAACCTCCCTGCACCTCTAGGGGCCGTCGCAAACCTCCTCGTACCATTAGGTCGGGCATGTCCCCCGACAGGCAAATTCTAGAAGAAAGCTTACAACTAGTCTAACCATACCTCCAAAAATACTGAAAAATAGCAGGAAAATCGTCCCCAGACTATTTCTTATAATTGTTTTACTATTCCCCCTGTAGAGGGACAGGCCCGACTTAATCGTGCCCTCTGCGTGGCCCTCGTGTCTCGTACCCCTCATCGTCATCCTCGTGCCCCTCCTCCTCGCACCCCTTTTCAAATGAACTGTCCTTCGAACCCCCTCTCAACTTGCCCCCTCCTCCTCCTCCTCCTCCTCCTCCTCCTCCTCCTCCTCCTCCTCCTCCTCCTCCTCCCCCTCCCCCTCCTCCTCCCCCTCCTCGTTCCCCCCCTCCTCATCCTCCACCTCCTCCCCCTCCTCCCCCTCCTCCTCCTCCTCTTTCCCCCCTCCCCCGCTTGCTGCTCCATGCTGCTTCAAACCTGCGCGCTAGTCGCATCCAGCCCATCCCGCACGGCACTTTCTTGACGGCTCCCCGGACACGTCGGGCCGCACATATGCAGCGCGGTTAGCGACCGAGCGGTGTCGACCCACCGAGCGGTGTCAGCGAGAAGAGAGGGGTCGGAGAAGGAGGAGGGGAAGCAGGAAAAGGAGAGGAGGGGGAGGAGAGGGGAGGGGAGGGGGGGGGAGGGGAGTAAAGGGAAGGCGATGGGAGGCAAGGGGGAGGCGACAGGAGGAGGCGAAGGCGGAGGAGAGGGAGAGGAAAACGGGAGGGGGAAACGGGGAGGAGGGGGGGGAGGGAGGGCGGAGCGTGGAGGCAGGAGGACGGAGGACGGAAGGGAGCGGAGGGAGGGGAGGGGAGCGTGGAGAGGGGAGGGAGGAGGGAGGATCGTGAGCGTGGAGGGAGGAGAGAGGAGGGAGAGAGGGAGGGGAGAGGGAGGAGAGAGGGAGGGAGAGAGGGAGGAGAGGGGAGTGAAGGTGGAGAGGGGAAGGATTGGGACGGGTGGGGAAGTCGGGGTGGCAAGGGGAAGGAGAGGGAGGGAGGACGGGAAGGGAGGATGAGGGAGGAAGGAGGGATGCAGAAGGGGGTAGAAGGTAGAAGGGAGGAAAGGGGGAGGAAGGATCATAGGGGGAGAGGAAACGGAGGAGGGAGTGGAGGAAGAGATGGAGAGGAGAAGGTGCAGGGGGAGCTATGAGGGACTGAATGAGAGGGGGAGGGGAGAAAGGAGGAACGGGAGGGGAAATAACAGAAGAGGAGAACGAGGGAAGGAGGCGGAAACAGAGGACGAGGAAGAACCCGGCCCTAGCAGACTTTCTCGGCGCAAGTGAACACAAGCCAGGGAGAACACAAGCCGCCTATGCACAGCGCCAACCTTCACATCTGGGAGGATGGCCACTGAACTCACAATGAACTTACTTTCGTGAAACGACCACGTGTGGGCCACATCCACGGCGGGGTTGGACCTGGAGCCAAAGGCCACTCTGGGCGTATGGCCCTGGCCAGTGGAGACGGCGACGCAAATTTGATCACGCATGCCCAGAATAAACACACGACTGTGCAACACGCTCCTCCTCTTCTGCTGCCTGGTATTCCGTCACTCCCGTTCCCTCTTCCTTCTCCATCAGCGTCATCAACATCATCATCATCATCATCATCATCATCATCATCATCATCATCAGCAGCAGCAGCAGCAGCAGCAGCAGCAGCATCATGAGCATCATCAGCAGAATGAGCAGCATCAGCAACATTACAATCATCATGAGCATCATAATCAGCAACATCAACATCATCATGAGCATGAGCTTCATCATCAGCAGCATCATCGGCAACATCACCAGCAGCGGTCTCATCATCAGCAGTGTCATCAGCAGCATCATCAGCGTCATCATCATCATCATCATCATCATCATCATATAATCATACTCAGTATCATCACCAACAGCAGCATCCTGATCGTCATCAGCATCATCATCATCCTCATCATCATCGTCATCGACATCATCGTCAGCATCAGCATCAGCATCATCATCATCACGCTCATCAGTATCGTCGTTGGCATCAGCATCATCAGCATCATCAGCATCATCAGCAGCATCATAACCATCATCATCAGCATCATCAGCAGCAGCAGCATCATGGGCATCGCCCGTATCAGCATAATCATGAGCATCATCTACATCACAGTCGTCATCGTCATCAACATCATCAGCAGCAGCATCATCATCAGCATCATCACCAGCAGCATTCTCATCAGATTCGTCATCAGCATCGTCATCATCAGTACCAGCAGCATCAGCAGCAGCACCATCATCATCGTCATCATCGTGGTCATCATCATCATCATCATCATCATCATCATCATCATCATCATCATCATCATCACTCCCATAAACATCATCACCATCAACATCAACATACTCATAATCAGAAGCAGCATTATCAGCATCATCATGATCAGCATCATCATCATCAACAACAGCATAATCAGCATCAACATCATCATCCTCGTCGTCGTCAGCATCATCGCCGTCATCACCAACACCACCACCACCATAATCATCATCAGCAGCAGCATCCGCAGCAGCAGCATGTTCAGCGCCATCAGCATCGGCATCAGCATCATCATCATCATCATCATCATCATCATCATCATCATCATCATCATCATCATCATCATCATCATCGAAATCGTCAGCCTCATCATCGACATCATCATCCGATCTCCTCCCCCACCAATCGATCTGCCCATCAGCCCCTCCAAGGGACCACCCCGACCAGAGTGCCGAACCCTGTCGGAGGCGGCGACGAGGAGGCCCCCACGAGCAAGCCGACGACGAGACGAGCTCGAACAGGCCCTGGAGTCTTGGACCGCGGGCTGGCGTGGGCGCCGCGGGCGCCAGGCCACTCGGGCCGGGCGAAGGAGGGGGGGTACAGTCGGGCTGGATTGGAGAGGACACGCGAGAGGACACAAGACCCTTTCGAGGGCCACATCGCCACAGGAACGTACGAAGCATGGGTCGAGAGGCACAGGACACAAGGGTACCCATGATCTGGCAGGGTCGACCTACCGGGCCGCCTGTAGCAAAGGGGGGGTCAGAGAATCAGCTCACGCAGCCGATTTTCCGGGCGCCTCCCTGCGCCGGAGGCGGCCATGCCTCGAGGATAGGGCCCCTCGGTGGGGCCGAAACCAGCTGCACGCAGCACTTGCCGTCGCTCGGACGTCCATTTCCCGTGCAATTTTCGGTTTCGTGCGTGCTTTGTCTGCGCGATGGTCCATGATGCTCCTCCAGGGCCCTCGCCGAGAAAAAAGTGCACGCGCCCGAGCGATGCCAGGAGCAGACTTCGTAGCCCCCCCCCCTTTCCCAATATCCCCCCCTGTCGCTCGGCCCGAGCTTGGACCGCGGGCTTCGGTCCCCCCGCGGCGCAAGGCGGGCGCTCGAGCAGCATCGCTGCTCTCGACGCCTCCTCCTCCCTGCTCCTCCTCCTCCTCCGCCTCCTTCTCCTCCTCCTCCTCCTCCGCCTCCTCCTCCTCCGCCTCCTGCTCCTCCTGCTCCGGCGAAAGGTCACTCTTACGTCCAGTCGAGGGCTGCCGTGGGCAGCGGCGCGGGCGCCGGGCCGCGGGCGCCGCGCGAGGGGGCCCTCGCGGACCAACCCAAAGCAGCCACGGGGGCACGGCCTCCCGGAGGGCCCCCCCGCACGGATCTCTCTTCTCGGGGCGGCGCGGGGCTCCCCCCTCCCGACGCCGCCCTGTCTCCCTTGCTGCGTTGAGGTCGGGCGTGGCGTCCCCATATACAGGGGGGGATTTTCAACAACAAATCAAACATAGTTTTTTGCACATAAAAAAAGACACACCAAAAAAAACGAAATGTACGACACAAATCCAAACATCGTCCCCGGACTAGTTTCAAATTTGTTTTGAAGACTCCTCCTGTGGAGGGACAGGCTACTCGGCGTAACCTAAGGAACGAAAGATAAGGAACGAAGCCCCTTTTTATCCAAGTGAGTCTGGGAAGGCCGCAGGAACACCAGGGAGGGGGATTCGCCGCCAAAAAGGTAGCGGAACGAATTCAAACCGAAGGAACGACGGAGCCCCTTATGAAAAGCTTGCGTTCCTTATTCAAGCCGGACCCTGTAGTAAAAACATACCCCAAAAATGTAACAAATAATCCAAAAAACGTCCCCAGACTATTTCAAACTTTTTTAGAATATTCCTCCTGTAGAGGGAAAGGGCCGACCTACCTCTTGTTACGCCCGCGGACCGCCGTCTCCGGGCCAACACCCTCTGATGACGCACATCCAGACTCTGCAGACCCACAGAAAGACGGCAGGGGGGCATGGAGCGTACTGTCGAATGGGGTGCCCAGCTCGAACGGAGGTGGCCTCCGCTGGGGCCAGACGACCCGCACCCATATACCCTCGGCCACTCCTCGGGGAAACAAACAGGTATCGATGCTGCTGCTCCCCGGACGGAATTTCGAGGCGAACCCAGCGGTGGCGACGAAGGCCTCCCCGGAAGCCTGATGCGATGTGCACTCGAGAAGGGAAGCGGGAGACTCCCCTCGCCACCCCTCGCTGCTCGCCAGGGAAGGGGGAGCAAGGAGGGTAGACCAGCGCTGCGCCAGCCCCGAGAGATCCGCGCAGATGCGTGTCGTTTAACCGATCCCTATCTCACCTGTATGGCCTTGATTCCACTGGCCTATTTTCTTCCCTAGATGGGGTATAGCCTGTTTCCTTCGGGTTTCGGAGGGTATATCACCAACCAGGGTCGTGAGATGGTGGGGCTCAGGATGGGGATGGGGATAGAGATCGGTGAAACGATATTGGGCGGACCTCCAGAAATTGATGTCCGTGCCGTTTCGGGGGTCTTGCACCTCAGCCCCCGGCGCCGCCGACCCGCGCAAGCAGCCCGAAGAGGAGGCCAGCGGCGTCCTCTGGTGCAGAGTGGTCAGGGCCCCTCTTCCCCGTGACGATGCTACTCCTCTTCTTCCTCCTCCTCCTCCTTCTCCTCCTCCTCCTCCTCCATTCCTTCTCCTTATAGATAACTCCTCCCTGTCCCACCCCGAGGCCTGTTTTTGGGGCGAGCCGGGCGTTTCGCCTGAGACTTCATCACCACTTATGACCCTGAACCTTGAAACATTTGCAAGAGCTTCATGGATTGAGGGCGCGTCGTTTTCAAAATGTGGCTCTCGCCTTAGAGCCTCGCACATTCGTTTCAACAAGTTGCAAAGAGCTTCACGGATTGAGGGCGGGTCGTTTTGAAAATGTGGCTCTCGCCGTAGCGCCGCGCACATTCATTTGAAAACTTTGCAAGCATTTCACGGACTGTTTTGGAAATGTGGCTCTCGCCTGAGCGCCGCGCACGTTTTAAAAATGTGCAAGAGCTTCATGGATTGAGGGCGGGTCGTTTTCAAAATGTGGCTATCACCTTAGCGCCGCGCACATTCGTTTTAAAGCTTTGCAGGAGTTCCACGGATTGAGGGCGGGTCGTTTTCAAGATGTGGCTCTCGCCTTAGCACAGCGCGCTTTCGCTTTAAAATTGGAAGAATGTCGCGGATTGAGGGCGGGCCGTTTTCAAAATGTGGCTCTCGTCTTAACGCCGCGCACATTCGTTTTCACCAATTACAAGAGCTTCACGGATTGAGAGCGGGTCGCTTTCAAAATGCCTTAGCACCGCGAACATTCGTTTAAACCAATTGCAAGAGCTTCACGGATTGAGGGCGGATCGTCTTAAAAATGTGGCTCTCGCCTTAGCGCCGCGCACGTTCGTTTCAAATCGTTAGAAGAGTTTCGTGGATTCCCATGATCAACGTACCAAAAATAATGTTTTGGACGGGATCAGCACTATGCGGGCGCAACTGTTATCTTGATTCGCTGTGTTGAAGTTCCAAAAATGGCGTTATGGCACGATTCTGGATCGTCAAGACGCAGCAGTCAGGTTGATACGTGACGCTGAAATCCCCAGAACAATGTTTTGGCATGCTTCAGGATCTTCAAACTGTTGTTTTCCAACGAGGCAGTTCCCGCAATGGAAACGAACCATTGTAGGGGCCTATGAAGAGGGAGCTTGGAGGGAGGGCAAATACCAACATCGTTGATGACTCTTGGGTTTCCACTGGTCCTCCTCCTCTTCCTGATCCTTCCCCCTCATCCTCCTCCTCCTTCCCCCTCCTCCTCCTGTTCCTCCTCCTCCCATCCTCCTCCTCCTCCTCCTCCTCCTCCTCCTCCTCCTCCTCATCCTTCTCCTGTTCCTCCTCCTCCTCCTCTTCCTCCTCCTCCTCATCCTCCTCCTCATTCTCATCCTCCTCATCCTCATCCTCATCCTCATCTCATCATCATCATCATCATCATCATCATCATCATCATCATCATCATCATCATCATCATCGTCATCATCATCATCATCCATCACCACCACCACCATCACCATCACCATCACCATCACCCATCATCATCAGCATCATCATCGTCATTATCATCATCAGCATCCTCATCATTATCACCATCATCATCAGCATCAGCATCATCGTCATCGCCAGCATGATCAGCATCAGCATCAGCATCACCACCATCATCAGCATCATCATCAGCATCATCATCAGCATCAGCATCACCACCACTACTATCATCATCATCATCATCCATCATCATCATCATCATCATCATCATCATCATCATCATCATCATCGGCATCATCATCATCGACATCATCAGCAGCATCATCAGCAGCATCATCAGCAGCATCATCACCACCACCACCACCATCATCATCACCATCACCACCACCACCACCCCACCACCACCATCATCATCATCATCATCATCATCATCATCACCGCCCCCCCTCATCCCCCTCCTCCTCCTCCTCATCCTCCTCCTCCTCCTCCTCCTCCTCCTCCTCCTCTCCCCCACCCTCCTCCTCCTCCTCCTCCTCTTCCTCCTCCTCCTCCTCCTCCTGCTCCTCCTCCCCTCCTCCTTCTCCTCCTCCTCCTCCCTCCTCCTCCTCCTCCTCCTCCTCCTGCTCCCCCACCCTCCTCCTCCTCCTACTCCTCCTCCTCCTCTTCCTCCTCCTCTCCTCCCCTTCTCCTCCTCCTCCTCCTCCTCCTCCTCCTCCTTCTCCTCCTTCTCCTCTCCCTTATAAACAACTCCTTCCTGTTACACCCCGAGATGTGTCGACAGGGCGGGCCGGGCGTTTCGCCTGCGACCTCCCAACCGTGTATGCTGCCTAAGCCTGAGATTTGCAACGGCTTCATAGCTGGAGGCCGGGTGGTTTTCAACATGCGGCCCTCACCCCAACGCCGCGCCCACTCGCCTTTGAGGTTTGTAAGAGGTTTACGGACGGAGGGCGGACCGTTTTCAGTATGTGGCTCTGGCCTTGGCGCGGCCCACACTCGTCTCAAGCATTGAATGAGCATCTCGGATGGAGGGCGGGGGGGGTTCAAAGTGTCGCTCAGAGCCACATGCAGTCAACCTGAAGGTTCGCAAGAGCCTCACGGATGGAGGGCGGGCCGTTTTCAAAAGTGTGGATCTCGCCTGAGCGCAGCGGAAGTGTGCTCCAAAAGCTGCAAAAAATTCACGGATGTAGGGCGGCTCCTTTTCAAAATGTTGCGCTCGCCTCAGCACCGCGCACATACGTCCTGGGAACTTCCGGCAGTTTCAAGCATGTGCCTGGCTGACGTCCCAGAAATTGTTGTTCTCTGGTGTGATGCAGGTCTGTCAGGGCACAACAGTCACGTTGATTCGCGGTGCTGAAGTCCCACGTACGGCGCTCTAGTACGATTCAGGATCGTCAGGACGCAATAGCAACCATGATTCGCAGCGTCGAAATCCCAGGAATGGTGTTTTGGCACGGTTCAGGAGTTTCAGACGGTTGTCTTCCAACGGGGCAGTTTCCTCAGTGAGAACGAACCCTTGTAGGGACCTATGACGAGGGAACTGAGAGAGAGAGGGTTGATTGCAACATCGTTGATGAGTCTTGGGTTTACACTCCTCCTCATCCTCCTCCTCCTCCTCCTCAAAATGAAGGAGCCCAGGGACACACAAAAATAAATAGACATAAATCCCAGGATCCCCAATATTTGTCATATTTCCTGGACTGTCGTCTCCGCCACCCACTTTGATAGCTTCCCACGTTTCCCTGGAAGCCGACGTTTGTGAGTGTAGTTTCTCTCCTGGCAAAAATCCACCCATGGGGGGGGGGGCCTCTCCGCGTACGGCCTCTCCGCGTACGGCCTCTAATTTGAGTCTCAGAATGGATCCGGCAGTGGCGACGAGCAGCAGGACGTCCAAAACCTCGCCGCCGACCGCCGACCGGCGCGAGCAGCCCGAGGACGAAGCTGTCAGGGAAGACTGACCTGCGCAACGCCTCGACGGGGCAGCAAACCCACCATGGAACCCAGACGGAGAGACTGCAACGGCCGGGCCCCCCCAAAAAAACTGCACGGCGGTTTTCCTGCAGCACGAAAGAATGAAGGGGAATTGGAACACACAAATAAATACACACAAATAAAAATATCCCCCATGCTTTCCCATATTGTCCTGGTTTTCGTCTTCGCCCCCACTTCCCATATTTTCCCATATTTTCCTGAGAATCGACGATGAATTGTGTCTGTGTGTCTTTTCCCCTCCTGACTGCAGCGCGAAAGAAGAACTGCACCACACGTTTTCTGACATCAGTTGCAGCTGAACTGCATACAAGCCCCGGAGACCAGGTAACAGAGGAACCAGGGCAAAAACAATGAAGCTCAGCAGCTGAAGTCGTCGCGGCCACGGTCGATCGCCGCTGATCGCGGCCGCCGCCGCCGTCACCAACGCTCCCCGTCGCCGCCGCTCGACGCCACTGATCGCCGCCGCCGCACTCGCAATCGCTCGTCGTCACCGTCGCTCGCCGCCGTCGCCGTGGCCATTGCAGCCGGCGTCGCCGTCGCCGCCGCCGTCGTCGTCGTCGTCGACAACGACGACGTCGCTGCCGTCGATCACCCTTAGGTCGGGCCTGTCCCTCTCAAGAAGGATTTTGGACAACAAATAAATACGTAAAAAATCATCCCCAGAGTATCTGTAAAAACTATTTTTCAATATTCCTCCAGTGGGGGGACACGCCCGACTCAAGATCGCCCGCGTCCGTCGCCGTCGTCGCCGCGGCGTCCTTGCCCCCGAACGGCGCCCAGTGGGGCGCGTCCCCGGCGGGGGCGGCGCCGCGGCCGCCCGCGAGGCGGGCCTCCCGCTGCGCGGCGGCGAGCAGACCCAGCTCCTTGCCGTGCAGGCTGCAGCGGCCGCGGCGACGAAGACGACGACGCCGACGACGACGACGACGACGACGACGACGACGGCGGCGGCGGCGGCGGCTGCTGCGACGGCTGCAGCGGTGGCGGCGAAGACGACGACGACGACGACGACGACGACGACGACGACGACGACGACGACGACGACGACGACCACGACCACGACCACGACGACGACGACGACGACGGCGAAGGCGGCGGCGGCGGCGGCGACGACGACGGGGGCGATGACAACGACGACGGCGGCGACGGCGCCGGCGGTTACGGCTGCGGCGAAGACGGCGACGACTGCGACAGCGGCAGCGACGACTGACGGCACCGGAAGCGGCCCGACCTACATAGTCGGAGCGAGAGGGAAGGATCGAGGCTCTTGGATTGAGGCCCGAGGCTTACTGACGCCTGCCGATTTCGTTTTGGACGCCCGAGCTGGGCACGGAAAAGATGCCTACGATGCCCAACAACTGCTGCTCCAAACCGACAGCGGCCGCTGATGGGCAGGCGGCCCTCTGCCCCAAATAGACAAGAACTGCTGTTGGCCTTCGCAGGCAAGGCTTCCATACCCACTTCGATCGAGCCGATTCTTGGGCAGCAGGAGGCTTTGCAACCCAGTCAACCCCTCGGGGCCCCCATGGGGCGATGGGGGCTGGGGATGTCAACCCCTGGGGGCCCCCATGGGCGCCGAACACGGGGGGTGTTCCGGAGCATCCGAAATTGGCCCCGTGGGAGATGCGCCCGATGCCGTCTATAATGTGTCCTCCTCCTCCTCCTCCTCCTCCTCCTCCTCCTCCTCCTCCTCCTCCTCCTCCTCCTCCTCCTCCTCCTCCTCCTTCCCGCCCCAGCGCCAACGCCCCCCCCAGCAACAACGGAGCATTGTGCGGCCCTCTTGGAGCCCTCACGCACGGGCCCCTCCTGGGGCTCTTTTGGGACATCTCCGAGCGATCTTGAGCCCTCGTGGAGGGCTTGGGCTACGTGGAGCCATCGTGGAAGCATTGGGCCAAAAGTTTCCCAGGGATGCCCCCGAGAGATGCTGAAGAGCGAAAGCGAACCGAAGGATCGGCGGCGTGGACTCCTGATCAGTGAGCAGTGAGCAGCGGAGCAATGCGCACTGATCTCGAGGCATATCAGGCAGTGGAGTGCACGAGTCTTGATACTGGATTTCCGAGCCCAACACCACATTCCTCGGATCCAAACCTGGAGTTCATGAGGTACATGACTGCGCCCTGGTGTCGAAGACGGAAGACACAAGACCACCAAACTGGACGGGCGCGCAAGTCGTTGGCATGTGCACATATCTGTCCATGTCGGACTTGGCGTGAACATGTAATTGGGCTGGAAGATCGCTCGCAGCTCAACGACCCCATGCAACCTCAACTCCATCTGCGAAACGCCAAACCTGCAGCCCAGATAATCGAAAATCGCACAAGTCCGCTCTGTCTATGGTGGAAAATATAGCCTGGCGAAGGACCCAACCATATTCAGTTGTGAATACCGCAAATGTGAATACCATCTTCGCACACGCTCCCTATGTGGCCACGGCTTCCCTCTGGAGCACGACATTGACACGTTCGTGGCCGTCTTCGCGGGCGCCGGCGACGACGGGGACGGCGTCCCTCTGACCGAGAAGCAGGAGCAGGAGAGGGCTCTGAGAGCCATGAGGAGGTGGCGCTGCACGTCGACACGGCGGATTACGACGCCCAGGCGCGGTTATTGAAGCGGCACAACTGTGGGGCCACGATCCTCGTGAAGGGTGTGCCGAAATGGACCGAGGCCGCCATGCGAACCTTGCTGCTGGCGCCTTCGGTGAAGCTCCTATGGGGCCACGATCCTCGTGAGGGGTGTGTCGAAATGGCCCGAGGCCGCCATGCGAGTCCTGCCACTGGCGCCTTCGGTGGAGCCCCGTATGGGGCCACGATCATCGTGAGGGGTGCGCTGGAATAGCCCGAGGCCGCCATGCGAACCAAGCCACTGGGGCATTCGGTAGAGCTCGCCATGGGGCCACGATTTATGTGAGGGGTGTGTCGAAATGGCCCGAGGCCGCCATGCGAGCCGTGCTGCTGGCGCCTTCGGTGAAGCTCTCTATGGGGCCACGATCCTCGTGAGGGGTTTGCCCCAGAGGCCCGAGGCCGCCATGCGAACCCTGCCACTGGGGCCATCGGTGGAGCTCCCTATGAGGCCACGGTCCTCGTGAGGGTTGTGCCGAAATGGCCCGAGGACGCCATGCGAACCCTGCCACTGGCGCCTTCGGTGGAGCTCCTATGGGGCCACGGTCCTCGTGAGGGGTTTGCCCCAGAGACCCGAGGCCACCATGCGAACCCTGCTGCTGGCGCCTTCGGTGAAGCTCTCTATGGGGCCACGATCCTCGTGAGGGGTTTGCCCCAGAGGCCCGAGGCCGCCATGCGAACCCTGCCACTGGCGCCTTCGGTGGAGCTCCCTATGGGGCCACGATCCTCGTGAGGGGTTGTGCCGAAATGGCCCGAGGACGCCATGCGAACCCTGCCACTGGCGCCTTCGGTGGAGCTCCTATGGGGCCACGATCCTCGTGAGGGGTGTGCCCCAGAGGCCTGAGGCCACCATGCGAACCCTGCTGCTGGCGCCTTCGGTGGAGCTCTGATGGGGCCACGGTCCTCGGGAGGGATGTGCCGAAATAGCCCGAGGCCGCCATGCGAACCCTGCCACCGGGGCCTTCGGTGGAGCTCTGATGGGGCCACGATCCTTGTGAGGGTTGTGCCGAAATGGCCCGAGGCTGCCATGCGAACCCTGCGACTGGCGCCTTCGGTGGAGCTCCCTACGGGGTCACGAAACGCTGTGCTGGGCGTGCCGGAGCAAAGACATGTGGAGGGCAGAGGCAAGGAGATGATGATGGCGATGAGGGGGAGGAGGGAGGAGGAGGAGGAGGAGGGAGGAGGGAGGAAGGAGGCGGGAGGAGGAGAACGCGGGGCGCCGTCTCTTCAAAACGAGGACCCAACAGCACAGGATGGTTGGGAAAAATGGGTCTTACGCGAGACGGCATAGCAACCTTACGCTGTGGCTTACGCGGGCCGCCAGCGCGGCACGCCATATTGGAAACGGGGGCGCGTACGAACGACCTGACGCGGGCAGCTTAATATCGATGAAGGCGAACCCGAATTTCTGCATCGCTCATTAGGCTGCCAGGAAAACCCTGGCGACTTTAAATCTGGGCTTGGCAAGGGTATGAAGATCCAGCTTTGTATGATCGGCGATGAAGCTCTGGATCCAGCGTTGTTCAGTCTGTCGCGAGCTGACTTTTTATGATTTGCCACGCCTGCAACGCCTACTGAACGTAGCAATGTGTCGCCAATAACTGCGATGTGTTGCACTCGTTTTTGGCAGGGACCCTGCCACGGAGTCAGATTGGACCATTTGCCCCAGCCTCGTTGATGATGGCGCATGCTTGTCCGCCTCCATTCTCAGGCTCGAAGACGCGCAGAAAGACATGATTAAGAAGAAAGCGGTGTGGTTGAACGCTAGGCTGCCGCTGATACCTGGCTGACTGACTTCGCTCTTTGATCAAAACTATGTTCAACGATCTGTGTGGTCTCTTACACGTCGTCATCGCGAATCAAGCAAACTGCGGCCTCGTCGTTCCATTCCACTCCCTTGCGGCATCGCTCTGTTCGGGTGCCATCGGACAAGGAGGAGGGAGACGGAAGAATAGAGGGAAGACTCCTTATCACCCCCGTCCTCCTCCACTCCTCCGACATCTGCTCCGCGTCTGAAGGGTTATGCAGCGCTTGAATATCGAGTCCCTCGTGCTTCCCCTGTCCCTCGCCCTCCCCCTGATTCTCCTCCCCCTCCTCCTCCTCCTCCTCCTCCTCCTCCTCCTCCTCCTCCTCCTCCTCCTCCTCCTCCTACTCCTCCTCCTCCTCCTCCTCCGTCTCTGCATCCTCATCCTCATCCTCATCAGCTTCATCCTCCTCCTCCACGTCGTCATCATAATCATCATCAGCATCATCATATTCATCATCAGCATCATCACCATCATCATCATCACCACCTCCACCACCACCACCACCACCACCATCATCATCACCACCACCACCAACACCACCACCACCACCATCATCATCATCATCATCATCATCATCATCATCATCATCATCATCATCATATCGATCATCGTCAACACCATCAGCATCATCATCAGCATCATCAGCACCATCAGCATCAGCATCATCAACATCATCATCATAAGCATCAGCTTCAGCATCAGCATCAGAATCATCATCAGCATCAGCATCAGCATCAGCATCATCATCACCATCATCATCATCATCATCATCATCATCAGCATCATCATCATCAGCATCATCATCATAAGCTTCAGCATCAGCATCAGCATCATAATCGTCATCATCACCATCATCACCATCATCAGCATCCTCACCATCATCAGCATCAGCATCAGCATCAGCATCATCATCATCATCATCATCAGCATCATCATCATCAACATCATCAGCACCATCATCATCAGCATCATCAGCATCAGCATTAGCATCAGCCACATCATCAATACCATCATCAGCATCAGCATCAACATCATCATCATCATCATCATCATCATCATCATCAACAACCTCATCAATATCCTCGATGTCGTCATCGGGACCGTCATCGTCATCATCATCGGCATCATCACCAGCATCACCATCAACATCATCACCATCATCGTCACTACCACCACCACCATCGTCATCATGATCATCGGCGTCATCATCATCATCATCATCATCATCATCATCATCATCAGCATTATCATCATCAGCATCATCATAAGCATCAGCATCAGCATCAACCGCATCAGCATCAGCAGCATCAGCACATCATCATCATCATCAGCATCACAAGCATCACCAGCATCATCATCAGCATCATAAACATCATCATCAGCAGCATCAGCATCATCATCATCATCACCACCACCACCACCACCACCATCATCATCATCATCATCATCATCATCATATCGATAATCGTCAACACCATCAGCATCATCATCAGCATCATCAGCACCATCAGCATCAGCATCATCAACATCATCATCAGCATCATCACAATCCGCCTCGTTCTCGTTATCTTCCTCTTCCTGCTCCTCCTCCTCCTCCTCCTCCTCCTCCTCCTCCTGCGTGTCCCCTTCGAGGGCAGGAAGCAGGGAGATGGAGGAACACAAGTAAACCCACACCGCTGATCCACGGCCCCCTCGCGGGATGCGGCCTGACCAGGATTTCAAGGCGAATCCAGACGTAGTGACAAGTGACAAGGACCTCCCAGGAGGCCCAGAAAGGCCAAAACGAAGGAAGGGTAGCGGTGTCGACACCTTGTTCGGGCGCATGCTAGCATGGATCAGTGATCTGTGGATCTGGCGTGCGGGCACCAGATCCATGGATTGGAGAAGGTACCCCCGGCACATGAGGCCAGTGCCGCCCCATTCGGCGACAACGTGCGCCAATGTTGTATGGAAACGGGACTCGTCGCTAATCCACGCGCCTTAGTCCATGTCAGCCTTCCACCGACTTTTTCCTTTACGAGATTAGCCTGGCGAAGGACCCAACCCCATGCAGCTGTAAGTACCGCAGTCGTGACTGTCTTGTTCGATGGGGCTCCCTATGGGGCCACGATTCTCGTGAGGGGTGCGCAGAACTGGGGTAGGGCCGCCGTGCGAACTTTCCCACTGGGGCCTTCGGTGGAGCTCCCTATGGGGCCACGAAACGTGTGAGGGGTCTGCCGAAATGGGTGCGGTGCGGGGGAGGAGGGAGAGGAGGAGAGGAGACGCGGAGCACTGTCTCTTCAAAACGAGGACCCAACTCCACAGGATGGTTGGGAAAAGACGGGACGGAGCAGAGCGGGACGTCCTCGATCTTCTGCAGCAGCAAGGCATGCGCCGGCTGGCCCGCGTTGGCGTCCAGCAGCGCTTTCAGCCGGCCCGGCTTCGTGGCCTCCCAGCGCAGTCGGGTCTCGAGGGTGCCGTCGTCCACGAACCTCGGGCCCACCATGCTCCTCCTGCCAATCCCCCTCCTCCTCCGTTCGACCTCCTCCTCCTCCTCCGCCTCCTCCTCCGTAGCCCGCTGTAATATATTATGTGTATATTCGTATATACACACATACCGTGGGGAAGCTGTCCCGGGGCCCTCTGGGACCGTTTGGGGGGCCTCCTGGACAGTCGAGGGCCCCTCTTGAACCGTCTTGGAGGCCTTTGGGAACTCTCTTCGGCCGCCCTGGGGCGATCTTGTCGGCTCCTGGGGCCGTCTTCGACGCGGTCGACGCCGAAGCTGTGAACGTAGTAAACATTCACGTTTTCCGAATGGTGCCATTTTTGCTGCTGGAGGCGCTCTTGGGAGCCCTCTTGGGGGACTCTTGGGCCGTCGTGGGGGCTCCCGGAGGCCGTCTTGGAGCCATCTTCGGCGTCTTGGAGCGACAATTCGGGGATTCTGGGCGGTCTTGGAGAATTGGAGACCTCCTGGGACCCTCGGGTAGCGTTTCGGGGCTGTCTGGGGCTGTCTCGAGGGAGCCCCAGAGGCCCGGGACATCCCCGATGTCCAGCTCGGGGAGGCATCGTGGACCTCCTCGCTGGAGGTGGCCCAGCTGGTGGTGGTGTCGCTTCCCCAGGGGCCCGAGGTCGGGATTTTGGGAGTACGGAGTCCTCAGACTTTAGTGGTCTCCCGAGGTCCTGACGGCTTCCCTGGGGACGTGTCTTTCGGCCCGAGCCGATTTCTGGCGCTCCCTGAGCGCTCAGTGAGGGCCTCCGGAGGCCGAAGACAGTGGAAAAAACCGCCGTCGTGATCTCTTTCCCGACGTCGGGCCTCTGGGCCTGCCTCTCTCCTCCGACCGCGAGCTCCCAGGAGTGTGCGGGCGCGGCAAGAAGGGCGGGCGCGGTGCGAGGCAGGGGGTGCGCGAGGGAGCGGGACCCGGGCCTCAAGGCGACGTGGTCTTGTCTTCAGCCGGCGGCTGTCTCCTCCCCTTCGATTTTTGTTCGTCGGCCTTCGTCGGGGAGGGGGGTTCGAGCAGATGTTTCATCGTTTTCGGTTCCGCCGGGGCCGCTTCGGGGCTCTGGGACCATCAAACACTCATCTGGGACGGCGAAGCACTCTCTGGGGGAGGGGTCCAGGGCCGCGGGTTGAAAAAATCATGTGGACGGATGTCTGGGGACCAGCAGGATGGGAGAGACCCAAACCTGCGACGTTGTGATTTGTTCACAACGGAGGCACTCGGAGGTCTGGACACCTTCCCGGGGACCGGTTTTCGTCCAGAGTCGCTTTTGACGGTCCCAGGGCCCGTTGAGGGTTCCCCCGAAGCCGAAAGCGGCTGAGAACCTCTCGTCGTGTTTTTCTCACGACTGGAGGGGTCTGGGGGGAAGGGGGAGAGAACGAGGGAGGGAGGGATGCCCGATCACCCAACGTCGTGATTTGTGTTGCTATGTCGGCTCCCGAAGGTCGGGACGCCTTCCCCAGGACCGGTTTTTCATCGTTCTTTGATGATCCCAGGGCTGGTTGAGGGCCACCGGTGGCCGAAAACGGCCGCAAACCTCCCGTCGTAATCCTTTGACGACGCGAGGGGATCTGGGGGAGGGGAGAGAGGAGGGAGAGATGCCAGGTCTTCCGACGCCGTGTTGTTGTTCGCTACACGTCGGCTCCCGGAAATCCGGACGCCTTCCACGGGACCGGCTTGTCGTCCTGATCCAGAGATCGGATATCGTGATTTTTCCAATGCGGGGTCCCTGGAGTGGCCCCGAGATTCCGACAACTTCCATAGGCCCGGTGTTTCGTCCTAATGTTTGACGGTCCCGGGGCCCGTTGAAAGCCTCAGGAAGCTAGCCGAGATTTGTCCAGAAGCTTCGGGATCGGCCAGAGTACCTGAGGGCGTCTGAGGAGAGGGCTCTTGGGAGCCTTTTGGGGCTTCCTGGCGGCCCCCTGAGGGGCCGCTTGGGAGCTTTTTCGGGAGCTCTTGGAGGTTTCTTGGGGCCTCCGGGGTGTCTTTTGTGGGGGGAGGCAGGAGATGTCGGGTTGGTTACTCCTCGGTGCTCTGTCGGGGAGCTGTATGGGAGCCCTCTGGGGCAGTCTCGTGGGCCTCCTGGATAGTCGAGGGCTCCTCTGGAGCTGTCTTGGAGGCCTCTTGGAACTCTCTTCAGCCGTTTTGGGACGATGTTGTGGGCTCCTGGAGCCGCCTTCGACGCGGTCGAAGCCGAAGATGTGCATGTCGTCATAAAACACTACGTTTCCGAATAAAGCCATTTGTGCTTCTAAAGATACTCTTGGGAGCCCTCTTGGGGGACTCTTGGGCCGTCGTGGGGGCTCCCGGAGACCGTCTTGAAGCCATCTTCGGCGTCTTGGAGCGACAATTCGGGGATTCTGGCCCCTCTTGGAGAATTGGAGACCTCCTGGGACCCTCGGGTAGCGTTTCGGGGCTGCCTGGGGCTGTCTCGAGGGAGCCCCACAGGCCCAGGTCCTCCCATGCCCCGTAGAGGTCACCGCCTCGGGCGCCCCAGCCTCGTGCACGGATATATATATATATATATATATATATATATATATATGTGTGTAGGCATACATACATACATACACACATACATACATACATACATACATGCATAAGTACAGATATACATACATACATACATACATGCATACATACATACATACAAACAACCAACCAACCAACCAACCAACCAACCAAACAAACAAACAAACAAACAAACAAACATACACACATACATGCATACACGCATGTGTGCATACATACATACATACATACATACATACATACAGACATACATGAATACACACATACACACATAATACATACAGACATACACTCACCATACATACATACGTACATGCATGCATACATGCATGCATGCATACTGTCATACATGCATGCATACATACATGCATACACTACATACATACATTACATACATTTCATACGTTACATACATACATACATACATACGTACACACATACATGCATACATACATACATACATACAACCAGGCATACATCCATATACACATACATACCTGCAACCATACATACATACATTTATATATACATAAATCCATACGTACAAACATAAATGCATGCACACATGCACACATACATGCATACAAACATGCATACATGCATGCATCCATAACACACACACACATACATACATGCATGCATGCATACATTCATGCACATATACATACATACATACATGCATGCACGCACGCATGCATGCATATATACATACATACATAAACACATACAAATATACATACATACACGCACGCATGCATGCATACATACATACATGTATACAGAACCATGCATGTATATATATATGTATATATAAATATACATATACATATACATATATACATATATATACATATATATACATATACATATATGGTCCCCCACCACCAGCGCCCCCAAAACAACCAAAAACACAAATCCATCATTGATCGCCTGCTCCTTCTCATCCTCCTCCTCTTCATCTTCTTCCTCTTCCTCCTCCTCCTCCACACAAGATCAGACATCTTTTTCTCCCATGCATCTCATATCGTTTCTTCCACGCATCGGATAACCAGCGCCCTGCCCTCTGCCTCCCAACACCACAAAAAAACAAACAGAAATACACAGTGTTTGGCGCCCTCGATGCAAGGAAACGCTGTGTATCTTTCGTTGTTGGTTTTTTTATCTGCGAATCAACGAAACACTGTGTGTTGTTTCGTGTTTTTTGGTTATGGAACTCCCATGCTCGCCGCGGCCTCCCTACCAGCACCCTTTCGCCCTGCCCCCCAAAGTCACAACACAAACAAACAAAAAAACACATAAATACAAAGTGCTTGGCGCCCTCGGTGCAAGCTGTGTACTGTTGTCTGTCTGGTTGTTTGTTTTTTTGTCTGTGAATCAACGAAGCAGTGTGTATGTGTGTGTTGTGGTGTGTTTTTTTTGTTTGGGGAACCCCATGCTCGCTGCGCCCTCCCTACCAGCACCCTTCTCCCTGCTCCCCAAAACCAAGAAAAAACATACACAGTGCCTGACGCCCTCGATGCAAGGAAACGTGTGTCTGTGTATGTGTGTTGTGGTTGCTTCTTTGTGTTTTGGAGCCCCATGCTCGCCGCGGCCCCCCATACCAGCACCTTTCCCCCTGCTTCCCAAACATTGTTTTACAACATAAAAAATGTTTGGCGCCCTCGATGCAAGGAAACGCTGTGTATGTTTTCTTGCGGTTTGTAAACCGACGAAACACTGTGATTGTGTTTTGTTTTTTGGTTGTGGAACCCATGCTCGCCGCTGCATCCCTACCAGCACCCTTCTCTCTGCTTCCTAAACAAATGTTTCATTGATCCACTGCCCCCCAAAAACACACACACACACACACACACACACACACACACACACACACGCACAGCGCGTTCTTGTATCGAGGGCGCCAAACACTGTGTATGTTTGGTTGGTTTGGCTTTTTGTTTTGAAACCCCATGCTCGCCGCGCCCCCCCTACCAGCACCCTTATCTCTGCTTCCAAAAAAAAACAAAACAAAAAACGCAACAACAACAAAAAAACACTGTGCTTCGTTGATTCACACACCAAGAAAGTTTCATTGCATCGAGGGCGCCAAACACTGTGTGTCTTTGGTTTGTACCGTTTTTTTGGCTCCGAAACCCCATGTTCGCCGCGGCCCCCCTACCAGCACCCTCCTTTCTGCTTCCCAAAAAATAGGCAGTGTTCCGTTGAGTCACACACAAAAAAACTAAACTACACAGCGTTTCCTTGCATCGAGGGCGCCAAACACTGTGTATGTCTGGTTGTTCGAAGGTTTTGAAGCTCCCCATGCTCGCTGCGGCCTCCCTGCCAGCACCCTTTCGTCTGCTTCCCAAAAACCAAAGGAAAACAAAACAACAAAAACATGCACAGTGTTTCGTTGATTCACAAACCAAAAAAGAGGATAGAAAAACAAAAAAAACGCTTCCATGCATCGAGGGCGCCAAAAA